CGAGGTGGCCATCCGCAGCTGCCTGACCCCTTGCCTGAAGAAGGAGGCTCCCAAGGAAGGTCTGCAGGCCCTCTCCAATGTCATTGCCAAGCTGGGCAAGAAGCCCTGGGCGCCCCGCGTCCCCACGCAGTTTCACAAGCAGCCCATTGGAAGTGGCCTGATCATGACATGCCCCGGAGCCCGGCCTGAGCATGCCGTGGCCTGGGACAAGGACTCCGTCCGGCTCTACCGCTCCCGCTACCTCATCGGTGTCAACAAGAGGATGCGGGTCTTCATCGACCACGGAAACCACCTGCACATCCAGCGGGTCCAGGCCAGCGACCGAGGGACCTACTTCTGCTGGCGGGAGGGTGAGATGGTGGCCGGCTTCCGGCTCAGTGTATTCCACCAGCAGCAGCGCCGGCGGTCGCTCAACGATCCCGAGACAATCTACGCCATGAAGGTCATCGGCATAAGCTACATCGTCATCAGCGTCATCTTCATCGTCATCCACGTGAGCCGCTGCTACTGGCGGGCGTTCAGGCGCTCCTCCAGGATATAGCATCTCCTCCACGGCCCCGACAGGTCACTCGTACCCCTCGGACCATCCTCCACTTAGAAATTCATCATGTCCTGACCACTAGAAATCAAAATGCTGCAGCGCCCCCTCATCCTCCCATTTGGGTCAAGAGTGTGACAGTGAGGAGCGACGTGGAAACCTCCCCGTGCTGCGGGTTGGCACGGCTTAGTAGGGACAGGCGGGGACTTCACACCACCGTGGTTTGTTCCTGGCTCTGCTGCTGGCCTGTGGTGGGGTTTTAATCTCAATGCGGCCCTTTTCAAAAGAATTCTTGGAGTTGTTGCAAGATCTTCTGGCCAAGCTCTACAGAGGTCTCGATCCGCATCGGTGATTTATTAGAGCTGTTTTTCTAAGAGGCTGCTAAAAAGATCCACCAAGCTATTTTAATCCGATTAATTCTTGCTTTTCTCACCCTTTTTTTTTTTAACTTTTTTTCATTGCTGAGAACTTTGAGCGCCATCGTTTCAAACTGTTCAATGTTCCTTTGAGCTCCTTAGCTGAAGCAAACCCATTTTTTTAAATTTCGGTTTAAAAGTTTCATTTTTGAAGGAAAAAAATATTTTTCAAATGAATCTGGTGATTTCCTTCAGAAATTTCTCTGGGTTTTGGTTGTTATTTTTAACTCACCCAACTCAGCACAGACTTGTGAGTCAATATTTATCCCTGACAAAATCATTTTGCATGTCCTCCAAAGAGGGTGGCATCTCTGCAGGGTTTAGGTGGTCACTCATTTGCTCCTCAGCGTGGAGCAGAACTTCCCCATGGAGCTTATCTCCATCCTTTTTTCAAGGATGTGGCTTGGGGTTTTCAGCTTTCCCAAGAGAAATCCCACTGTCCAGGAGAGCAGCACTGAGGGTCCCAGTGATGCTCCAGCACTTGAACCATGTAGATGATGTGCAGGATCTAAAATCCACCATCACGACCAGCACCAGTCCTGACAGCTGCAGCCGATCCCAGGAGCTTCCCAGGAGCTGCAGCCTGGGTTTGTGCGGGGAAGGTGCTGGGTTTGAGGTTGAAGAACCCCGAGCAGATCCCTGCTTCCCCTCCCTCCCTCCTGGGAAGGGGATCTCTGCCACCCCGCTGCCTCGCTGCCGGCTCTGGGGGGGTTATTCCTGCACCCCCCTCCCCTGCGTTGCAATCCCTTACGGGTGTTGACCCAGGGGTCAGCCATGCCTTGGGGTACAGCGCTGAGCCCCCGGCGACTTTGAGCTCGGTTTGGGCTCGCGAAGGGCCTCGCCGCCCTGCCTAATCCCAAATAACCCGCGGCGCTGGCTGTGGAGCGGCGAATTGCAGGCACGACCACGGAAGCACGGCGCTTGCATTCGCTTTATTTCTCATCTCAAGCTGCTGCGGGCGTTAGTGCATTAATTCAGCAGCAACGTGGGCTGCACAGCTCCAGCCGGAGGCTGCTCATGGGGGACCGAGCCACCCCCCAGGCCACCGCCATCCCCCCACAGATGCCAAACCTGGGCAGCCCCTGGGCCTCCCAGAACATCTCCTGCCCCTGGGAATGGCCTTTCTGCAGTCGGTAGCTGCGAAGCTGAGCCAGGGGACAAGGGGGACAGAGGGGACAAGGGGGATGGCATCCGAGCGGCACCCCGTGTGCTCATCCCAAAGGGCTTACAGGGTATGAGAAGTCCTGCTGGGTTGTTGCTCCTACGTTAGGTGGCATCAGGGCAGGTTTCACTCGTGGTCAGTAGCTAAATCGAAGGTGGGGACAGGGGCTGCGGGCAAGCACCAGGCTGGCAATGGCCCTGGGTGGGCCGGTGGCATGTGCTGGTCTGGGGGGAAGCACAGGAGGACAGGTGAGGGGACGGGGCCATGTGGAGCCCAGGGACAAGGGATTTTTCCAACCCCATCTTGAATATCCACGAGGTGGGTGGGCTTGGGCTCCATGTGTGGCCGGGATTGTGTCCAGGGCAACCCCAATCCCCAGTCCCCCTGGCTCCTGGTGTGACCCTGGGTGGGACAGGCAGGACGAGGACGGCTCTGTCCTCCCTTGTCACTCCTGGGTAGCAAGAGGCACCTCCTACTGTGAGAGCACCCGTGGGTGCCCCGGCACGCTGCTCCTCCTCCTCTGCACTCCCCTCCTCTCCATGTTCACCTGCGTGGGACCCCCCCAAGCACGGGGCCAGGCGCAGGGATGTGGGTCACCCCTCGCCACGAGCCCCTCGGGACTGTTTTTTCCCCACCACGGCGATGGGGACACCTTGGTGGCGGACACCCAGTGGGGGTCAGGACAGCCCCATAGCTCTGTGCCAGGAGAAGCCCTTGAGGCCACCCAAGCTGCTGTGCCCACCCCTGCTCCAGCCCCACACACCACCCCAGACACCCCAGCATCCCCAGGAACCCCTCGTTATCCCATTTCATCATCCTTTGACAGCTTCCCGACAGCACCCTGCCTCTCCATCCTCCCCTTCCTCCCGCCCGTGCCTCTTGGCCAAGCCCACCCGGTACTTGGTGACGGGGAAATGTCCCTCACAGCTGGTACCTTACACCCTGCAGCCCCCCCACCGCAAGGGTGCGCAGGGCCTGGGTGCACTGGGGAGATTTGGGGTGGCCTCCCAAACCAAAGAGAGAGGGCAGCAAGGTGGGGTGCAGGGAGAGTTGCTCTTTGCACCACCGTCTTGTCCGACTGGTGCACGGAGATCGAAACACGACGGACGTTGACGAGCTGGAGACTTGGGGGGAGCACAGGCACAGCCCCAAAACTACTGGCCCCTCCGTGCCGTGGGAATGTGGCAGCATCCCAGCAGGGGAGCTCAGCTCTGCCCGGTACCGCTCGCCTCCACCAGGTATTGCCCATCCCCTCCCCACACAGTGCCCGGTCGGACGGGGGCGTTTCTG